ATGTATATATAGATATAGATATAGATATAGATATAGATATAGATATAGATATAGATATAGATATAGATATAGATATAGATATAGATATAGATATAGATATAGATATAGATATAGATATAGATACAGATACAGATATAGATATAGATATAGATATAGATGCATGTATATGTACTCGTGTCGATATCGACATTTCTGAAGATCATGCAGGTAGCAACAACCCGACAGAATCTGTCTGGATTTACCGTTTTGGGGCGGCTCCGAGGCTGAGCCTGGAAACAGCCTAAGTATTTCCGAAAGCTGTTGCGAAATCAGTGTCGACATGTGAGTACTTAAAGGCCCATGGGACTTAGTCATTAGGGTTTAGGGTTTAGGGTACCTTAAAGGCTCATGGGACTTAGAAATTAGGGTGATAGATAAGGTACTATACTTCTAACCCCAATTAGGATACTTACAACTGAACTTATTAAGTCCCATGAACCTCCAAGTACTACGAGAGAGATGTGAAGCTACTCATCCCCGAAGTCCTAAACTTCGACGAAAGCCTACTGCTCTGCCATTGCGCAGGTCCCGAAGCTTGAGAAAGCACAAGGGAATCTCTGAGCCCTAGGCCGAAAGCCTCAGCTCACAGAGTTCAGAGCTATAAGACATCAAACCGTGACGCATGGAACCCACATTGCCAACCTTCAGATTTTCAGAAAAAGTTGAGAAAAAAAACATCGAAACCCTAGACCCTAAACCCCTATACCCGCCGCGGCATGGGGCTTGAAAGGAACGCAACCAAGCCGAGACCCTTTAACATCCCCCGCCAAAGCCTCAATTCTGCTGACCTTTTAAACCCTTAACAAAGAAACCCTAAGTAGATCTATACACCCCAAACAACTCCAGACCATAAACCCCAAAACTCAATCCTTACATGGGCTTGGGGTCTTGCTGTGCGAGGTCTCGGTTTCAACGGTCCCAGACAAGTACTAAAGCTAGGGCTCTACACTGACAGTTTTGGACACTAATTTTGAGGCTTACAGGAGCAAAGCTTTGCAGCTGACGAAATGTTTATCACCGGAGTATAATGGAGTATAGCCAGCTACACCAACAGGTCAGTAGGGCTTCTAAGTCTATCCTAAATCCTAAACCCTAAACCCTAAATCCTAAACCCTAAACCCTAAATCCTAAACCCTAAACCCTAAACCCTAAACACCCAACACCCTAAACCCTAAAGGCCCAGGCACATGGTATTGGGCGCCTGTCCCGGCTCTTCCGGGTGGAGGTGCCCGCCACACTTGGGACCTTGCTGTAAGATTCACAACATCAGACCATCAGGGGTTTAGGGTTTAGGGTTTAGGGTTTAGGGTTTTAGGGTTTAGGGTTTAGAGTTTTGGGTTTAGGGTTTAGGACCATCAGGGTATACTGCTGATGGAAAAAAATCTGCATGACCCAAATATAGTATAGTACCATAAAGCCCATAGTTTGGGTATATAGGGTCGTGCAGGAGTTTGTCCATCAGCCGTATCACAGTGGGTTTATGGCTTTAGGTCTAGGACCTTGGGCTTTGGGGTCCTATGGTATATCAGGGTTTCACCAGTCAGAGTGTGGCACCCCAAACTGGATGCGGGCTTTTTTTTAGGGTTTAGGGTTTAGGGTTTAGGGGTTTAGGGTTTAGGGTTTAGGGTTTAGGTCTAGGATTGAACGTGCTAGGACAGCAGTGTACCTTGTGAGCGCGACCTAATGTAGGGGCCTCAAAAATTAGAGCAGGGCTTTCTGGGCTCCTTTTTATAATGACAGCATAATACGTACACCCCAAACCCTATTCTAACTATTAAGGCCCCTGTATTACACCAATCCAGGACCAGCCGGGACCGGGACCCAAGCCAGACTGTGGAAAGCGCCTACTACCCACGTGCACATCTTTGAGATGGTTAAGAACATCACGCGCAGAGGTGAGGTTCATCTGAGCCGGTAACATCCGCTTTGCGAAAAGGATTGGGGATCGGAGATACGGAGCTTTGCCAGGCCCACAAGGGATTATTTAAAGTATGCTTTAAGTGCTATAAAGTAGCCCCACTTAGGGTACTTCTAACCCTTCTACCAAACACCCCTAACATACTCTACTGTACGACCTGTCCTTTTTCCCGTATGAACCCTGCTAAAGCCCCAAACAGGGCCGTACGATGCGGCCAGTGTGCCAATAATCAAACTACTCGATAAGGTTTGCGGCACAGTATACTATATCTATGAAAAGAACCGTAAATCGGGAATAGCATTCTTCATTAATTATTCAGACTCCTATACCTGATAAGCAAACCCTAAAGAACCCCAAATCCTGAAGCCTAGAAGTGCCTTATACCCCTCCCCTAATCCCGAAAAGTGCCTCATACCCCTGACCCTAAAACCCTAAACCCCATAATGCCCTGCACCCTAAACCCTAAACCTCATATTCCAAACCCCGTACCCTAAACCCCATATTCCAAACCCTGTGCCCTAAACCTCACACTCCAAACCCTATACCCCTCTTCTTGCAGCAACCGCAGCATGGAGCCAGCGCACCGAAGACGGCACCGTCGGCGACGCGAAGCCGAAGCTCGGGTTTAGCCTTGGGATTTCGGTAACCCGTTGAATTCAAAATGATAACAACAAGGATTACAAGGGTGTAGGGTTTAGGGAAATCAATTAAGATTATATAAGAGCAATCGAAATAATCGGAACAAGAAGAGTGATAAGAATGGTAACAAATAACAAGAGGAAGAAGAATCATGAGCAATGGGAGGTCAGAATCATGGGTAATGGAAATAACGGTACAACAACAGGGGTGCGCTGTTTCAACGGGTACTACTTGTACTGAAGGTTCTCAGTACGGGTACCCTTTTGCGAATAGTCAATATTCAGAAGATGAGAAAGACCCCCAGAGCCCTCGACCGCTGCCTAAAGGTGCGGTGCAGATTCGTGAAAGCTCTTCATTGCGTTCCTGCGAGGGCTTAGAGGTGAAGAGCGCGATGTGGCCTAAATCCTGGCACGGCTCAGTCGAACGAAAAGCGATGGCTCAATCATAAAAATTCTTTATAACCCTTATATACCCCTTATATAGTCTCATAAAGCCCCTATATAGCCCCAAGGGTCCCTGTAAGGGTCCCTCCTTTAGTCCCTTGACCACAGGGAAGCCTTGCATGCAAATCTCCTACGGGATTCAGGGTTGTAGCGCTCACGGCTTCAAGATTGTGGGGCTCAGGGCTGAAGGAGTAATGTAGGGGCCTAAATAAATACCAATACTATTTTAAGAGCTCCTCATTATAATTCTAGTCTAACGGGCCCCAAAACCCTATTCTAATTATGAAGGCCCTATACAGTACATCTCAGGGAGCACTCTCGCCATGGACCCAAAGACGCTGCAAACCGAAGTGTCGGAGGTCTCAATGGGCGGCAGCCAAGCAGCTCCACTGAGCAGCTGATTGTTCAGCCTAGCAGTTGACGGCATGTATATCTGTGTGTATCTATGTTCGATCTATCTCCCTATCTATCTTTCTTTCGATTTAATTGACCTATCTATCTATCTATATATCTATCTGCCTATCTATCGAACAACCTATGTACGTGGATATGTGCGCGTGTGTGCATTGTAGCATTTCCAAACATTTCGGGTCAGGGACCCATAGTTGCCCCTAAACCCTAAACCCTAAACCCTAAACCCTAAACCCCAGATCTGGGCCGGCGGGTCTGTCATAGACCGAGTCTTGTAGAGCCGTACTATAGGGGCCTAAATAATTACCAATATTACCGTTAGGGTACGTTATCATTACACTATAAAGGAGCCCAAAAACCCGATTATAACGATTAAGCCCTGAAGCCCTAAGTCCTTGGAACCCTGACATTCGATACTAGAGGGTTTAATCTAGGGGCTTTTATAAATAGAAAAGGGTTTTGGGGTATACTATACAGTAGTTATAATAAAAAATCCCCAAGCTAGTATAGGTAATTATTGAGGACCCTATAGTATGCTTTCGTAGGGGCATTTATCGCTGATGATTTTCTGAATCTAGGACATTTTCAGGTGGGTAGTTACCGTTCTAGGAGCCTTATAGAAGGTCTATATACCTTATGGAAGCCTTATAGAAGCTTTATATACCCAATACTCCCCACCTGTAGTACCCTAAACCCTAAACCCTAAAAACCTAAAACCCTAAAGCCCTAAACCCTAAACCCTAAACCCTAAAACCCTAAAGCCCTAAACCCTATATACCCTAAACTCCTGTTATAACTCCCCACCTGTAGTTTCCTCTATCTGAAACTCCGACCGGAAGGATGACGCTCCGACACGGTTTAGGGTTTAGGGTTTAGGGTTTAGGGTTTAGGGGCGATCAAATTCGCCGGGGTGCCTCAGGTAGCTCTTGAGCTCATCATTCCTTGGTGAAAGATGGGCTAAGTTGTGTTTTCCGCATCTTGAAGCTGGACGGCTTGAGATTAATAGGGTTTAGGGGTTTAGGGCTTATAGTGTTTATTATAGGGTTGATGGGGTTCAGGGCTTAGGGGCCAGAATTCGGCTTAAACTCAGCGTTAGTTTCAGGGTCCAGGGTTTCAGCTGCAGTGCCGAAGGTTCGGGATGTCGTTTCATGCAGGTTCCGATAAAGAAGGCAAGAAGAGCTTGCAGAGCAAAGAAAGCCTGTTTCAAATTTCAATTTGCAAGACTTTGCCGGGATTACGTCCATGGTGCTGCGGAGGCGTGTCCAACCCACCATACTGTACACAGGATTTTGGGGGTACGTTATGCTAGAACTTCAGAACAACTGTAGGAGAATAGGCGGGAGGATACTATTACTAGTTTTTCCCACCGCTAGATCTGTCTATCGCTCGCATCAGCTTCCTGATACGATCCTAAACCGTGCCTGAAACCCGGGACCTAGAAGCTAGAACGACATTGATGGTTCGTACTTGCCCTGTATGCACCCTGGTAGGGGGCCCGCCCCAAACCTTGAACTCCAACTAAACCCAAGCCCGAAACCGCAAGTCCTGCACCAAGAGCCACAAACCCACTAGGATCACGTGGCGAAGCTGAGGAGCGTTTTCCGATCCAGGTGGCGCAAAGTGGCCTCAGGGAGCAAAGCTGAGCAAGTGGGAGCTGTCGTAAATCATGCGGGACAACCAAGAAGAACAAGACACAGAATATAATCAGATGTAAGATAGCAGATCGTCGTCATGGTCATAAGCATCGCCACCACGTCATCATAAGCAGACTGATCAACATAGTAGAAACGGAACACGAGAAAGGAAGAACTGCCAGAGGTGGCGGCTTTACACATGGGAGTTTCCGAAAATAAGGGGTACCTTATTTGGGGGTCCTTATGATATGGATCCTACTATTTAGGGTCCTATATTAGGGTCCCTTATTTTCGGAAATCCCAACATAACAAGCAGAGCTTGTTATGTAAGGGAGCCGTTCCCACCTAACGGTCCTAACGTCAGCACGCTGCTCGGACACGAGTGGCAGCTTGGGAACAGACTTCGGCGACAAAACACCCAAAGTAAGGAAGCTGAAACTGTAAACCTCCAGCTTCTGAAAACTCGACTGTCGACTAATCCTTGCATTCGTAACTTCCCTTAGATCCCTAAACAGACCTAAGGCACCCGGAGAGCCAAAACTCATCGAAAACACAGCGCTGCCCCAACACAGACTCGCCTGAATTGCCTCGGCCCTTGCCAAAGATTAGACTTTCTAGGGCTTAGGGATGGTTTGGGTGTAAAGAAGCGGAGACTGAAGTAAACATGTCTGCTTCTCGGAAAGGCATGGGGGCTTGGTTAGAGCGTCTGGGGCATACCTGTTCTCTAAATGAGAGTCCCATTTTGGGTCCCCACAAATCGTACGGCACCCTTATAAAAAGGACCCCAAAAGGGACCCTGGTTTATGGCTTAGGGTTTGGTACCAGTAGCAGGCTGCAGGTTTAGACGGCATCGCGATGACACTGAAAACACGATGCCGTAAACGGATACAGCCAGCCAAGCTCGACAAATTCGTAAACTCACCCTAAACCCCAAACCCTAAACCCTAAACATCCGAGAAACCCTCTCAATCTTCCCGCCGACTTGTAAGGGAGAGGGGTTGTTCCAAACAAGCGATTCCGGTGGGTAGCGATCCAAAAATGGTCTTTGGCTCCGTTGCAGCATGCAGGTATACAGCATGCATCTACTTCCGGCGGTGGATATCTTATGAGGAGGGCCCTAAAGTGGGTTCTTCTCAATTGAGGAACTTACTTAGAGCCACCTCTAGGGATACTGGATAAATGAACGACCAATACAGGCTTTCCTTTCAAATGGAGCATACATGGGGGTTTCCGAAAATCGGGGACCCTACTATAGTACCCTAAATAATAGGATTCTTATTATAAGGACCCCCCAAAATAAGGTGCCCCCTATTTTCGGAAACTCCCAAATGAATCTCCTTCAGGAGCCTTAAAGCGGGGGCACCTCTAGCTGCCGCCGTGCGGAGGAATCTGCAGGGCGGGTGGCCTGGCTTTAGGGTTTAGGGTTTAGGGTTTAGGGTTTTTTTTTTTAAGTGCAATGGCTCCTTTTCTCCGCAAGAAGCCCACCTATAGCAGGCGTACACTTAAATCCACCATTTGGCAGATCAAATTACTAGTCTCGACTACGACTCGCTTCTCGATCCCTATCAGGCCCATCATCTTCACTCTCCAGTTCCACCGACTCTGAACTATCGGAGGCTTCATCTTGCATCGTCTCATCTTCAGGAACAAGCAACATGCCATCTCCACCCACCTCGTCGCCAACAGAAGCAGAAGCATCCAGGTCACGGGCAACATCACCAGGAGACTCAGCAAGAGCTTGCGGGTAGAAGGTCTCGATCAAGCAGGATCCATCACTACTTCTGGCATCATTACGAAGAAGAGGAGGAGGTCGAGGAACATGATGTCGCCGGCGCTGGTGACGTCCTCCTCGACTGGGCAGGCATGGCGGTCCTGTGCAACCATCGGGAATGTCCAAAGGCGTGGACTCATTGGCCTGGACGAGGAAGAGGTCTTCATCTTGTTCCGAAACCCATCTGCCTTCTGGTACTGGCAGTCCATGTTGACGATGCAGCCGGCGAGCATTGTCACGCCAAAGACGACGACGTAGTCCAACGACTGTGTGTCGCTCAAGCAGTGCCGCCCAGAGCTCATCGACCGTGGTCGGAAGCCCCGGTCGCAAGAGCGCTGTGAGACTGGTCACCACGGTTTCAGCCTCAAGCTGACCAGAGCCTTGTGGTTGCCCCGCCTCAGCTGCAATTGTCTCCCATATCCCTGCTTCCATGGTGGGGGAGTTGAGGATGGCGGAGCCGGACGGTGAATGCAGCCAGGGCAGCGTTTCTTCAATAGCGACTCCAAGAAGATGATGGAATCTCTGCAATCTGCGTTGCCGAGCCAACAGTCGATGCAATACATCAATCACGTCTGCTGTGTTTCCCAGCAGCATGTGCCTGTTCACCGTGTCCCGAACGACGTCTTCTGGTCTTAGCGAGGAGGTCGTGGAAGTCGTAGAGGTGACCCAAACCAACTCGTTCATGTCAACACTAAAGTTTTCTTCTCCCCGCGAGCAGCAAGACGTTCCTAGCCAAGTGAACGTAGGCAGCGTGGTCGTGGTAGTCCCGGACGTACACATAGAGGCCGATGCGGAGGTGGAGCTTGATGTGCAGGATGAAGCAGCACTCGAGGCAGGGCACAAGCCCCTCAGCGCGGCCATGTGGCCAGCAGGTGCAAGCCGTACAGCCGAACCCTCTTGCATGAAGTCCACGATGTCACCCTCAGTGACGGTTGTAGTCTGCATGAAGTCCACGATGTCACCCTCAGCCAAGGTTGTGGATGTCGTTGTGGACGAAGGCTCTTGCCAGATCCCCATTCGTTCACCCTGAAGTGCACGAAGTACTGCGGCGCCAAGGACTGGTAGTACTGGCTGCGGAGGAGGTGGTCCGTTTGGTGGGTCCCCCGGAGGAGCAGGCGGAACTTCAACCAGGTTGCCGTTGTCATCGTAGGCGATGTCACTGCGAGCATAGTCACTGCAGTTATCGGACTCCTCATTGTCGTCCGACTCATCACTGGCCACAGGATCATTGTTGACCAGTTGCTGCCTCGGCGGCGATCGACTACGTGCTCTGTCGTTGGGAAGGTGTACCGTTCCAGGCCTGGCTCGGTCTCCAGATGAAGAAGCTGCTGGCTGCGGTGGACCACCAATAGCAATGACATTCTCATGCACTGGTCCGGTTGCTTGGCTCTCCGATGGTTGAAGGGGAACACGGAGATGATGCTCTAAGCAGTTGGTCAACAGTGATCCATAGCCACGAATCCATGAGAAATGTCGCCACCTATCGATCTCCACTTGAGGCACTCTCTGTACTGGCCAGAAGCCTCTAGGCTGAAGTCGACGCGCGAAGACCTCCAACACACTTTCAAGCGCCTGGAGTCCCTCTTCTAGCCGCTGTGTCAGTCTCCCAAGAGCCCATCTGGCTTCGGGACCAGACTCCATGGAGTTGTGCACATCCAGTTGTTGCAGCAGTTGGTCTACCCGCTCGATGTCACGATGTGGTACACCCTGCTCTTGGAGCATCGCTCGCTCAGCACCCGTGAGTTGCATCAACCACGTGGCTTCACCCCCGGTCAGGTCCATGTCATGAACTTCTGGGTAAAGTCCATAATTGGGAGGTCGGTTGTCCATGGCAACCTCTGCATCGCTATCCGGTTCCTCG